CAAATGTACGACAATTTAATTTGCAGTATTTAGTTGTATTAATTTTTGAGTTTTGAGTTTGTATTAGTTCATTGTTGTACTTATTGTACTCCATTGTTATTTGTTAATACATATTTCAGTATTTTCTGCGAAATACTTGTCTAGGCAGTATTATTCGTGTGTGTGTGTGTGTGTGTATGTTATATTTAAATTTTCGAGTAAAGTTCGCGAGTCATGTAAATCAATGGTTAATGGTCATGGAAATAAATGGAAAATTTTCCGTGGACACCCTGTTATTTATTTATCATATTTTAGTCGTATTAAATATTCTTATTTTACCCTATGCGTTATGATAGACGCATCCTACTTCAGACATTTTGTTGAAGCCTTCCAATAACATGGATAACGAAAGAGTCACGTTAGATGATAAGTAATTAACAACTACTGGGAAACACCTTTTTTAGTAGTTACCGCCGAATATTGTTTATGACGGGTATGAGACGTAAAATTACAGCACTGTATACCATTTTTTCAGATGGCAAAAGCAATAAGTAAATTGCAAATGTGTTTAAAGCAAATTCTAGCTTTTGGAGACTCCAAAAATATAGTTTTAATACGTTTCATATGACACATTTACGCCGGAGGACCTTTCACCTAGTGACCAATGAATTTTACATAGAAAAATGTTTATATCCCCCCTGCCTTAACGAAATTTTCTTCAATTGCCTCTTAGTTTGTTTAATCAAAAGGCTTAGTGTCTTAAACCTTTTTCTAAATCAGGATGTTATCAACGTATACATATACAATCTAAGCTGGCTTTCTTCTGGTATATAAATAAATCCTGTGCAACCGTCGTATACGGTGACAGTGACCAGCCTACGCACGTCAGACAGGCTATAGGCCCGCGTTGGCGCGATGTTGGGGAAAGAAAGGGCATTGATCAAGCGGTGTGGGAAGCGCTCCAGTTGCATAATTATTACTCTCTGTCTGTCCCACGGGTCTACGCAACTCTGTGCTAACTAGCTGTCAAACTCTGCCCCCTGCTTTGTCAGATTAGCCTCATAATAGCATAGATTAAACATGCCCAACTCTCGCTCCAGTGATAGGCCAGGTTTTTTTCCCAAGAGGTTTTTGGTTCTCAAAACTCGATTCAATTCAAACAATTGTCCTTGATATTTGGACTGGTAATGAATGGTCCTGGCTGAAGAAACAGCTGATCTGATAAACATAGCCTCTCTTAGAGGTTGTGACTAGTGATTGTTAGGTAGTCCTTCCTTTAGTCGGTGGGTAATGTATAAGGATTTGTACGGATTTATTAGTATGGCGTAAAATATCGTACGTCACCATGTACGTCACTCACTCTTCCAAAATGTGTTTACCGGACTCGTATGGTAATCCCGTACAATCTTCAGGTTGTAAGGCGTCTTTCATACGCCTTGGTATTATACTACAGTATTACCGTGCACTTAATCAGCTGATGAAATAAACAGATAAAATGCATCGGTGATTTGGCGCTCAGACTTACCAGCTCGCTCCCCAATTAAGCGTTAGTAGTAATGATATTCACCTTTTCTACTGAAGTGTCTGCGCGTTTTCATGTTTTTTTTCTAGAGAATTTTGTACTAAATCCAAGCAAAAATAAGTTAGTTGATTTTGCATTGATTTAAATATAAATGCATTTCTGCGATCGTGACGTTTGTTATAATCTTTACTTTCTCCCCCTATAACATAGTAGGCTATATGGAGAAAGTTCCTATTGTTTTCGACAAAATTTTTGAGTTTGAGTTTAGAGTGGATATTTTCAATTTTTGACCCCCTGAATAAAAAAAGTTGTTTTCGAAATGATGTCTGTGTGCATGGCCGTGTCTGTGTATGTCGATGTATTCCGATTTTGATGAATTTTGGTATGTAGGCACTAATCTATGGTATTTCCAGGAATTTTTTAATTTTGATTTTTAATGGGGATTTTCTCACAAAAACCATTAAATAATGGAAAAATCAGATTTTCTCGAAAATGGCCCGAACGATTTTCATAACAATTTAGTATCTCCCTAAATAAATGGTAGGCTACAAATCCTATATCTTAAAAATTACGGGTTAAAAGCTATTTTAACTTATGTTATTTTCCCATAAAAATTCCATAAAATTAAAAAAAAATCGGATTTTGGACAAAAACCCGGTTTTGATTAAAATTAATGTGTGTTATGGGGATTGCGTTATTTCGTTCAGAATAATAAGGACCATAAGTCCTTATTACCATATTTCCTTATTATTCTGAACGAAATAACGCAACCCCCATTACTGTAACAATCACGGTTCAGATGTTATTCCAACTTTTGTGATTTTTCCTACAAAATTATAATAGTTACTGCCACCGCTTTCCCATGATCCCATGATAAAGGTCGTTGACAAGCTTATGGGAGAAAGCATGTGTCAGATTGCTAATACAGTTTATTAATTTTTCGTTTTGTAATAATAAAGGACAAATTATTTACGTTGTTTGAGTTATTTCCAAATTTAAATATACTTTTCATCAGTTGTGAACAACTAATTGCATTTGCACACATTTTGTTCAGCAGCGTAGCGGCAATTAATTTCAAAATATCGTGAATTATGCTATATACGACATTCTGCGATGGCGTTCTTCAACCACCTGTAAAGCCTAAATGCGTTTGATCATACACACGATAATTTTGTCGTAGCCTTGAAACTGTTGGCTACACTGCTGCCGCAGCCGCTAGCCGCTCTGCCTGTGCCTGCAACTTCAACCAAACGTTTAGTTGTTTTTGTTTAGTTTTAGTTTGTTTGTGTGTCCAAGTTATTTGTATTAAATTTATTGTCAAAAGTCACAATTGTTAATAAGTGTCCAGGTAAATTTACCTAACTTCCAGATTATTATCATACAGTTTTAACACCTCATTAAATGGAGACTATTTTGTCTTTTACGTTGTTTAAAACCAATCTCTTAGTTTACAGAATACTTAACCTCTAAATTCTAGCTAATGAATATCGCCTAGCCAAACTCCGGTGGGGCACACGGGAGGGACTAAGGCTAACATATCTTGTAGTGTCAGCGTTCGCCGCTAGGACTGCTAAGTTAAAAAAATTTAAATTAATTTTTAATTTTTTGTTATAAAATTAACTTTTTAATTATAAAATATTGTTTTAAAATTATAAAATAAATTTTTAATTTTTAAAATTAAACTGTCATAACATAACCTAACCAACCAGACTTGCTGATAATATTAAAACTATATAAAGATAAAAATCTAATTAATGATTACTTATAATTTTTAATTAATTATAAAATTAATTTTAAAATTTAGTATTATAAAATTAAACTGTCATAACCTAACCTAACCAACCAAACTTGCTGATATGAAAAATTTGTTGACAAAAAGTTAGTGCTGCCGGCGGGATTCGAACCCCGGACCTCCTAAACACCAATCCGAAACGCTGACAACTATGCCACGAACGCCGCTGAAATCACATCGTTTCGTTACGGTAATCGTGTCGTCTCAAGAGAAGACATTAACCACTAGAGATATGACGTCACTACACCTTTAGCCTCAGTCCCTTCCGTGTGCCCATTCCAGCCAAACTCAACCTTTTATGTGCTCCTAAATATTTATAATTTTGTGGACACTTCTATTCTAGGTAACCTAGAGTTATAAGGTTTTATATCAGACAAGATTGATCATACCAGCGTATTGTTAGCTCGATTGGGATCTCGTCAAAGTGATGTGTCGTTGTAACCGATAATCCGATTCTTTGATAGTATAATCTCAATCTGAGCCAAATAACTTAAACCTTCTAATATAGGCTATATTCGGCCTATATTGGGGGCTGTTGGTTTTTCTTAGACAATTTACGTGAATCTACCAATAACTGTACTGTACCAATAGACAGTGCACACCACGTCACACTTACACACTATAATATAGGCATATTAACTTAAAAAGGTGAATTTAACCTATTGGCAGAATCACACATGTTTGAATAAGTTTTAAAGATTGTGAAGATTTTGGAACAACCATCTTTAAGTTAAGTTAAACAATGTTTAAAGCCTATAAGTTAAGTTATTAGAAACACGATTTGGAAAAAGAAAAGGGACCTCTTGTCGGTGATTCATAATTTTCAGTACAGCCGATATAAGTCCCAATTAAAAGGTCGAAAATGTGAAATTCGGGTTTTCCCAAATGTTATAGGCTACCTCAATTAATATAACTTAAGTTAGAACAGTAGTAATGGTTAAAATATCGAATCGAAGATGTAAAAGCTCGACATACTTAAATCATTTTGTTAGCCTCTGCATGGGTCTGAGAAAAGGTAGGCTACCTCTTGTCGCTCAATGTTATTTTGCCATAACGACAAGAGGTCCGATTTCTAATAAGTTTAATTCACTTTATAAACAGACTAAGTCAAATAAATGAAAGTCATATAAATGAATTGTCCTGCATTCTAGTGGAAATTTACAGAACAAAGTTCAGTTTACAAAGAACAAAAAATCTCACAATTTTGTGGTCCCGACAAGAGTTAGGCCTACCTTATGTTATGGAGAAATAACATTGGACAAACAAGAAGTCCCATTTCAGAAATATGTGATTTTTACTACATGCTTCAAGAAAATAATTATTTAAATGAAAACTGGCCATGAGTTAACCAAACATTGATATTGCCTCCAAAGCGATAACTTATAACCTTTCTTTTGATATCAAAATTGTTTCTTAAATACGAAAAAAAACCGTTTTTATGTGTACAGTGTTTGAAATTTTCAATAGTTTTTTGCAAAATGACCCCTTTTCATAACAAAATTTCAAAGTCCAGAACTTAAACACAAAAAATGCTTAGATGCATGGCACTTGCAACAAGTGATTCGGAATTTAATAAGGAATTCAAATAAGTTATATATAACTCAAAATAAAAAAATTCCTGACAAGAGGTCCCTTTTCGCTCTCCACATCACATAACTTAGCCTATTGTGATTGTTGTAAATAGGCTAACTTGATGTTATTTTTCAGATCTGAGTAGTGCATTACCGGGATGGTTGACTACTACCGTGTGTTGGAAGTGCACAGACAAGCTTCAGTTGCTGAGATAAAAAAAGCGTAAGTAGAATTTACTCATGTTTTAGGTTATTTGTCCAAGGCATTAGGCTTATTACAACGTTCTCCGGAAGGGCCTTAACTTATTGCAATGGAAGAGTACAGTTTCTTAACTGAGCTTCGCTAATATCGATTGAAAATAATATCGTTTTGATTAGTAAACATTAATTATTTTTTCATTATCAGCAAGTTTGGCTAGTTTATAACAGTTTCATTTTATAGTAAAAAAAACAAACAAATGAAGGTTAACTAATTAAATCAATATTAGCGTAGGCCTAGCCCAGAAAAGAAACTGTACCCCAATAAAATAAGTTAAATGAGCAAATTTTTATAATGTGATCCGAGTATGAAGAAGTTTGTTGAAGAACCAAAAACAAGTGGGCCTATCCTAGAGTAGGTAGGCCTATAAATAAATTTAGAATACTTTTTAAATAAGTCACATAGAATTAAGTGGTAGTCAAAAATAAATTCTGTAAAATGCTTGTATACCTATTTTAACATCAACAAACTGACATATATTTCTTAAGACATCAGAGCTTTCTTATGATTGGCCCTATGATTAACAGGTTAAATTGGTAAGATACTTTTGTCTGTTCAAATGTTCAGCTTTTTCGACCAAAATAAATAGGGGAAGTCGGGGCTTTTCCAGAGAAGATCAATGTTTAGTTAATGACTTAAATTGTGATTTGTTTGAGTTAAAGTTCAAGTAGGCTTAGTAGACGGAATAATTTCATACGACGTGGATACTTACGATAAGATTTCTCAAATAAAAGTATTACATTTAGATCTTATTGTTTCCGTTGGGTCTGGAATTTATCTCCCCCTACTCAGTGTCACATTGTTTGTGTGCAAACTGCGCAGTATGCAGACTAACCTCAAACTCTGTCTGGTCGGAGGCCACATAAGGCCTGTGTCCAGCTGGTGGTTCCAGAGTAGAGTTACCAGTATTGACGGCTTGTGCCTTGTACGGCCATGCAAGGACTCTCCCCCCCCCCTCTGATGTCATTGCAATACATTGATTGACTATCAGTCTGTTTTAGCACTTACCACACACAGTACAACTTTCTCTACGACTAATTGTCATTGTTATTGAAAGAATGCAGAATAGACACTGTTTTTGAGTAATTTTAATTTATTTTTAAGCTGATATTGCTATTGCTATTGCCTCAGTTTGAGTTTGACAAGTAGCTTAGGTATTTTGGGTAGGCCTACCGGTAATTTGATAAGTGGTGCTCATGTTTGTGGGCGAGGAATCAGAATTAATTAAACTCATATTTGGAGATCATTTGACATTACTTTTTAAATTATGATAGGCCTAGATAAATAAATTTTAAGAAATTTAAATCATAAAACGGTAAATACAAAAGATGGTAAGTGGTAATAGATTTCAATTGGAGACTCCAATCATCAAGACCCAAAAAGTCATTAGGCTTTAAAAGGTATCAGACTTTTAGTTTGAAATAGCTGGCTTTTTAACAAAGCTACAAAAGGCATCTCCTCAGTCCATTCTTCGGCAGACCTTCATTCATATTTGTGTTTAAATAAATACACAGCATTGTGTCTCCTGTTTCAATGCCAATGATAATCATTTTAAACATATTTTTTTGCTATTAGTTATGGCTAATAATTGACCCTAGTTTAGGGATACAATTTTTTCTGTCTGTTTTGAGTACAATTTCATTCAAACTTTGTAACTTTACCATATTTGCACTTACTCAAACAAAAATTGAAATTGCTTTTAAATATTTAAAGTTTGCCACCTTATTTCACACCAAAAACAAAAGCAAGTAGGTGGGCCTATAGCTAAGCCTAATCTGCCAACCAAGGTTGACCAGGACAGTAGCGACTGGCAGCAGTTGCAAAATAGAGGCTTGAAATGAGGCAACCTAATGATTTAGTCGTTAGTGCCGCTACAAAGACAGATCAAAGTAATGGCAAATTAAATTTAAGTAGGAACGCGGTTTTGTTGTATTAATAGTTTTATAATGGTCCATTATTTTTTCAATTTGCATTATGAGTGTTCACTTTACAAACATTAAGGGCATACAGAAAGAAAGAAATTTTTAGAAAGGCCATAAGAAAACAAAAGTAGTCCTAACTCGTAGAGATAACTTGAAAATGCCATTTTTAAATAAGTTACCTTAATTTAGTTACTAAATTTAACTAAATACCATTTCTTGTATTTCACTTCATAAATATCCATTTCGTTGTTTAAACAAGAACAAAATAGGTTATTGTCTATATCTTCAAATACTATACCCTCCTAAACAATTTATCAATGGTAAAAGCTATGGTATGTATTGCATTTTTTTAGCTACCTATTCATAAAGTACCGTACAGTAGTTTTTTAGAACATCAAAAATACCTCCCGTAATTCTTTTCACTTTTAAAAATTAAATTAGAAAGAGGTTTCAAAACAATTAGGTGGTTTGAGCCCCAAAACAGCGAGCACATGCTACATAACAAAGTTTTATATCAATACATAAAATAGTTATCAATAAAACTATTGTCTATTATCAATAAAACTAGCCTACTTGTTCTTTTCCCCATCTAAGATGACACAGTTTGCTCCCAAAGCTTACAACTGGGTTTTCACAAATCATGTTTTTTATGATGCGTATAAAGTGCAGACTATAAACAGACACAGTAGATGATAAGAGGAAGGAACTAATTTGTCTACAATAGCAGTTGTAAGTAGGGAGTAGGTCGAACCATGGCATTAGCAGGGAGGGGCACTGCCCTTCGTGTCGGCTAATCTGGGCACATCAGTACAGTCCGCATCAACACTCAGCAGTAACCGCTCACATTATTGTTCAATGCTTCTGGAGAATAGACAATTTGTTCAATCTTCAACCTCAATATGTATAATTTAATAAAAAAAAACTGACCATGTTTGATATTTTAACAATTTCATCACTAAGATATTTGAACTTCTACAGTTGAAGCTTTATAATTCTTCACAACCAGGGAAGTTTAGATATGAACACTTAGACAAGCCTTTTTAAATTCCTTTTAGCGAATTTCCCATATAGGGAATAATTTATTACTGTAGGTCTCGTAGTAAGACCTAGACCTGGGACCGATTTACTTTATCGTTTTGAGGTCCCTAGAGACCAAAAACACCATCCGTTCAAATTTTGTGAATATTGTGACTGTGACCATGACTTGAGAGTCAAGATGCATTAGAGATAAAAAAAAATTTAAAAAAGGGTAGACTACTATGGTTTATTATTTTATTACAATAATATATATTATATGTGTGTGTGTCCGTTAACACGATAACTCAAGCAAAAATGATCAGATTTTGATGAAATTTGGTATAATGTGTAAACCTACATTTATTCGAAAGAGTTGGCGAACCAGCATGATGGGACTATGGGAACGGGGGCTTATTGGGGTTTTATGGGGTAAAATTGGGGTTTTTCCATTATTGACCCAGAAAACATAAAATTTAGCAATTTCTTTCTAAACCATTTGTAGACCTTAAAAAAAACAATTAATTTAGTATATTAAAGCATTATTATGCACCTAACGGCTACAGAGAAAATTCCACAAACTTGTAACTTTATAATTCCTATGTTATTCCTATGAAGAATAAAGTAAACTGTTGTAGTTTAATTGTTTATGTAGATATTTTGATCAAATTTGGAAAATCCATTACTTCATACTAAACTATTAACATTTTACAAATATAACACTTTTTTACTCTCCCTGTTTCAGAAACCTAAGTAGGCCTACTCGCGAAACAAAAGCTATTTAAATAGGGAATAAAAAATTTGATATTTTTAAGGAGACATTTTAGTGTAAATCCAATCAGGCAAGTAAAATTTCTTTAGTCTGCAGATTTGCTGCTGCGGGGGTATTTTTATCATTCCCTTCCTGGAATAAAAAACTAATGTGTTTTGTTAAGTGTAGGCCTAACCATTGATTATGGATCCTGTTAAGTAAACTCTCTCATGCTATTGTCATACCTATATGAGGTTTGTTCTAATGTGTGTTTCTCAAACCTGGAAATGTCTAATAAAACTTCCCATAGCCTATATAGAACTAATTATTATAATTAGATTTACTGGTAATACTTCTTCCCTTAATTCCCCATATTATAAAACAAGCTAAGAGCTAATTAATTAGGCTAAAAGTTCTATGCATTATAAACAAACTTGCTGTGCCTAGCTGAATAAGAGTGGCACAACATGTTTGGTTGGGATCATTGACAGTTATTATATTATTGGAAACATTTAAACAATTTTTAACAACTTTTCAAGAGCCATTACTGCTAGATGGCACAAAGCTGTTAATTCATTCTTCTTCTTCTGAGGCCACAGCCTCACATAGGCACTGGCCTCTGCAACTATCTGCCTTCAGTCTTCTCAAACTCTTATCAGAATCGGACAAACCTAATCCATTCTTATAAATGCTAAATAGAGTCTAGATGTTAAACTTGATTAACGGCAGATAGGTTGGTATAGGAGTGGTGTGTTTACTGTATTTATAAACAGGTGACAAGTGGTGTTGTGGTTGTGACACTATTGTTGCATCGTGTGCGTGTGTGTGTGGAGGGGCGGTCGTGAGGTAATGTTGAGTGGACACTCGAGCACCGTGGGCTGCGTGGGCTCACCTACGTGACTCTGTGAGGTACCCCACTCGCAGCCACTTAACGTTCTCATTCAGTTTATCTTAAAGTCGTGAAAATGCAGTTAGAGGTATTAAAATTATCTTGCCTGGTTTATTGTGTCGGTAGCTCAATAATGGGATTCTTGAATTTCTTAAATTTAGGTACTGGAACTGTATTAGAGAGAGGAGGAATCAATAAAGCGTCCTCTCTCCATCCTTCACCATTCCTCTGCTTCTCTTTCCTTTCACCAAATTGAAAGTTGAAAGACGACTAAAAGTAATAAACAGTGGCGCTTCTAGGACCCTATCAAGGGGGGGCTACCAGGGAGTGTCCCACACCCCCCCATGACAAGAGGGGGTTCAGGGGTTGCCCCCTACTAAATATTAGT